GGACTTACACAACTCTCGACCAAGGTACGGGTTGGCCGACCTTAGGCCGAGGTCGAGAGGGGCGGGTTAAGTGGTTGGTTTGGTCGAGACTTTGGATTTGGTCTAAGGTTTTGGTCGAATCGATTGCTTTGCTCGCCAACTTGTGACGCTTCCGGGTCGTCTTGGGTTAGTCCGACCTAGGACGGTTTGGGGGTGTTACAGTGCGTCGGTCAATAGCATGGTCTTCCTGTCGATCGATAGGAGAGTAATCATGTCGGTCGATGTCATGTGGTTTGATCTTGACAGGGACGGGTGGATGTGGGTGACGTGCTGCGAAAGATTCGTGAGTCATGGTCTGAACGGTACTGCACTCGTACGGGTACTCGTCTAAGTCCATCGATCGACACTCATCAAAGTTTATCGATTGATGTACATGGGAAGGTATCGGTCGATGATTCCGGGGTGATAGCGATCGATAGTAGTCACGAACGAAGTCTCTCTCATCATCAGATTTCTGAATCTCTTCTACTACCTCTTGCCAAAAATCATCATCCAGGATGGCATTGATGTTATTTTTGTTGGCAAGCGCTTGCTTCCTTTAGGCTTCTACTGTCTGAAACACCTGAGTCTCCAACTTCTTCATATGGGTGTTTAAACCATCTAGCTCTTTTTGGAGGGTGTTGTAGACGGAGTCGATCTTCCCATTGAAGTTTGTCTGGAGTTTCTGCTGAATCTCAAGGACCTTGTCAAGCATCTCCTCCAGTTTAGTATCTTGGGTGGGTGGGTGTGGGTTGAAGTAGAATGAGTTTCCATAGCTCATGTTGTTGTTGGGGTTGCTGCTGCTGAAGGTGTTAGGCTTTTGTGAATTCTGGTTGAAGTTGCTTCTTTGGCCTGTGTAGTTCTTGTATCCTGCTTGGTTACCAGACCCCTGAAAACCAGCTCCACTAACCCAGTTCACATCTTCTTCTATATAATCTTCACCTACAGTCTCTGCATCCTCCACTGAACAGATCTGCTTGTTTAGTAACTTCTGAATGGTATCCAGTTGTGCTTGTACTTCATTGATGTATTCCTTCCCAAGGAATGATGTGGCTTTTGTCTTTCTGAAGTTCTTCGTGCTGTTGCTGGAAGCTAAATTATCAATTAGCTTCATAGCCTCTTGTGGATTCCTGGTCTTGAAGTTGCCTTCACTAGCTTTATCAAGAGCTCTCTGATAATCCAATGTGATGTCTCTGTAGAAAGTGCAAAGAAGTTGCACTTTGTTGAAACCGTGGTGTGGGCAATCTCTTTGGTAGGACTTGAATCTGTTCCATGCATCTTTGAATGACTCTTCAGGGTTCTGAGTGAATGTAGCAATCTTTTTCCTCCATTCTTCAGTGCTTGACTCATCAAAGAAGTTACGCAGAAATGCGTTCTTAATGTCACTCCAGGTTGTGAGAGAACCTGGTGGTAGTTGTCTAAGCCACTGCAAAGCTTCTCTAGATAGAGAGTACTTGAAAAGCTTGCAGAGAAGATAGTCTTGAGGTACTCCATTGGCTTTTATGACGGTTATGAGATCCTCGAACCTCTCCAGATGGTCCATAGGGTGCTCATTGGACAACCCACATAAGGGTATTTGTCCTACAAGGGTGTAGTACTGCGGCTTAAGCTCGAAATCTCCTCTCTGAATAGCAGGAGGGCGGATGGCTGATCGGTTGGAATAGAACTGATCTGGACGGTTGTAGTCAGCCAAAGATCTAGCTTGGTTAGCCTCTTCTACAGGTTGAATGATGTCTGTAGATGCTGTCTCTTGCTCAGGTATGATCTCCTTCTGAGCGTTCAGCTTCTGACCTGCTGCATTACGCAGGTGACCATCTCGATCACGCAGGTCTCCATTCTCATCGGTAGTGAGAATAATAGGCACTACCATGTCTCGCCGGTTAGTATCGATCGATGTAAGATGAGATATATCGATCGATGTTAGATGAAAAGTATCGGTCGACGAACGGTTGTTGATGTCGAGCAATGTGACGGTGAGAGTATCGGTCGACGTTGAAGGTGTCTCGGTCGACTGTGGTAGACAAGTATCGGTCGACAGGGATTTGTCGATGTCGATCGATGAGGAGCGTAGGTCTTTGCGGATGCTACTTTCCAAGCCGTGAGGATCTTCTGAGTACAAAAGGTGTTGGTTCTTGTTGCTTCTAGTACTGCTGGGCATGTACCTGAAAAAGACAAGAAAAAAATTTTGGTGTCAAAAGATAATTAAAAAATTAAAGAAAAATAACCTAGACCTAATCAGATTAAATCTAATGTTATAAAAGTTCCCCGGCAACAGCGCCTAATTTGATATCACTCAAATGTTTAACCCTAAGAAGTGAATTACTCTCTCATATAAGAGGTCCAGTTGTAGTACTTAGGGATCGAATCCACATGAACTAAGGAACACAATAAATATAATCCTAAATGATTATGCTAAGTTGAATAGGTTTAAAATAGTAAAATTGCACTTTTGTAAGCAATGGTAATTTGCTTAAGAGAATGGGTTTTAGGTTTGAAACAATAAAAAAAAGTAGTTAGATTCAAGGTTGCTATTCAGATAATCAGGATTATAATGCTATAGATGTTTTAATGAATTGCTTGCAAGATATATGAGAACTTCGATTCTTAGATAGATCTAATAGCAGTCGCTAAATAGACACATCCATTGATCTTATTACCAGGAATATCGACCGATGGTAAGATCCCAATGTCGGACGATATGAGTAGCTGTCGATTGATTACTCTATAGGAGTATCAATCGATATAGCATAAGATCGAATCGAAACTGTGTTCACCAAGATCATAGACCGGCTCTCGCACAACCCTAGAGGATCTAAGCTCATGTCAAATGATTTCAGGACAATGATTAACAAGTTAAATCACATCCATGATCATACTCTAGATAGCTACTCTAGAGTAAGCATTAGGGTTCATTTGGATAATGAATATCAACAATTCAACATTCCATAGTTGGGGCTAATCCCTCATAACTATTTGAACCCTAAATCTAACAAAGAAATCTACTCAGACATAGCTGAGAGATTCATAACAACAAGGTAGTAATAGAAACTCATAGATAGAAGATTGAACTTTTGGTTCTTGAAACAACAAATCTCTTTGTGTGTTTCTTCTAAATCTAGAATTCTAAAACCTTTAAGAAATTAAGATGAAAAGAAATACTTTATTGCAAAGGAACAAGAAAAGTATGCAAAGTTTTTCAAGTACAAAAGTAACTAGAAACAATATAAACATTCAAAAAGACATAAAAGGTATCAAAAGCATGTCTAGCCAAACACAATAGCAAAAACTATAAATATGAGTTCCATTAGGTTAAAATTCGTCAGGGGCATTATTGTAATATTGGGAAGACTTGGGCTTCAAGTCGGCCAAGTTGGACTTGTTCTCCACGCATCATATCGATCGATGGTACGTGGTGTACATCGATCGATGGAGTATCTCGACTTCATCTTCATTAGAAGCGTCATCGATCAATTACACAGAGTGTGTATCGATCGATATGTATCCTCATTGTCTGATATTCACAGTCATCTTCATATGTATCCTAAAATATTTTACATATACCTAATTTTAGTTGAATAGGACCCTAAAATATTTTACATATACATGATTTATTTTTACCACAAAATTTATAAAGATGTTAATGATAAAAATTTTAGAATATATTTAAATTTTTAATAACTATAAATATTAAAAGTTTTTTTTTTTTTAAATTATGTCCGAGGTCTGAATAAATGTTGAGCCGGCCCTGAGGATGAAAATCGACCAACTCCCTGAACCGTAAAATTCGACTCCATCCACGAGCTACCGCCTCCACAACCTTGCTGCAGAGCCAGAGAAAGGTGAAGAACCATCAGAGATGAAACCCTTCTCAAGCGGGATAATCACCGGAATAAACCCTAACCAAGAACTGATAGCATATCAGAAGAGAACCGGTAGAACGAAAGAGAAGTAAAATAAAGACAAAGAGAAAAAGAACATGAGGCCTCTGACGCCAGATACACGCTCACGCGTCGTCAGACGCGCGTTTACGCACCGCTGGACGTCGGAGCAAATTCAAATTAAGTTTTAGCCAGACGCACGTTTATGCACCGCTGGACGTCGGAGCAAACTCAAATCAAGTATTAGTTTTCGAGAGAAAGTGGGGAGATGAGAGAGAAAGTGAAGAAATAAAAAACCAAAGATTTTGCAAATATGCAAGTTCTTACGTTCTAATCATATAAAACCTGCAAATATGCAAGTTGTTAAGGGATACTAAACGAAACAAAAATACCATTGTTTGTGTGAGAGAGAATAGCATTAGTTATTTGACTTATCAGTTGTCGAGTCATGTATCATATTATTTATTAATCTATCCCTGTACATATATGCTATGTGAAGTTTTTCTTGAAGGAATAAAACTAAGATAAGTGTTAAATATCAAAAAAGATGTTTGTTAGATGACTGGTGATAATTAGAACAGAGTCATTAGCTACAGTAGAACTTTTCAAGTACGATGAAGTAGGTTATATTACAAAACCAAACATGCAAAAATCTAAGAACATCTGCATTTTGGGTCTCTCAAAAGATCTCCCAAGAACCAAATATGTAAAATAATGAAAAGGTATGAAAGAGAGTCAAATGAGTCTCTTAGTAAAGAGACTTTACAATAGGACAGAGACTCATATCACATTTGATAGCATTTCATTGGCTCAAACAATAGTTTATATTGGGAAGAACTTATGTGAATCTCTTGCCATTTTTGATGCTCTAATACTACTCAAAATTTAAGTATTTAAAGGTTTTGGGAAGCTCGAGCTCGGTCCCGTGAGTGTGTGTGGTTGCATGTGAAGGGTGGAGCCTACGCACGTGATAGTAACATATGTGAATATGTGATAGTAACATATGTGAATATGTGATAGCCGAATCGCTAAAGATAAGGATTGACAGATACAAACCATCTGCCCATCCACGTGTCAGCTACGTGTTGCACAGGGATACCAAGTTGTTTCTTCGCCGGTGTTCGCCGCAACCACCGCTAAGTCCGATGGCCTCAACGCTTCGAAATTCAGAAAATCAACTTGAATTTTGATTCCATTTGCTTGCTTTACTCTCTTAACACAACTGCTCCCAAGATCTTCATCATCTACGCTGGATGTTGAAACCACAAGAAGCTTCAGATGATTTGGATTCAGATATTGTCGAAACACTTGCTGGTGGAGACAAGCTTCAACTTTTCTTAAACTGAACCAAATCATGAAGACAAACATGCTAAATCTCGATTCTTTATCTCATAAGAATATTTTGCTTAAACATCTAAGAGCAAAGATTGACATCCTCAGAGAAACAGAAATCAAGCATAACCAACCGTAAATATTAGAATCTCAGGAAACAGAAGAGATATGTCAATATGAAGAGCGAGAGTAAAAGCTTTAAGATTTATATTTACTGATTTCAAAACAGGTTAGGAAAAGATAAAATTTGAAGAACATAAAAAGCAATCCAACCCAGTTTGAAAGTACACAACAAAATCGCATAAAGCGAAGCTTATTCCTCAACAGGAAAAAAGAAATCGCCAAAGCGAACCAAAAGATTCAATCTTTCGATTGAAAGTTATCTTACATCAAAAAAAAAACAGGACCAATCTCATCCTCCCTCTGAAAGATTAAAGTCTGGTAAGAGGGATAGGAAGAGAGAAATCTCTCTCTACAAGAAGAGAGAGAAGGCCCCAAAAGTCGATCCAACTGATATAATTCTAATTCGCAATTAAAGCCGCAAATTTATATATTTTTCTTCTTTTTGTATCCTTCTTTTCTATATATCTCCTTCGTGTCTTTGGTTTACAACTCATCTTACCGGGTTTTCCGCAAAATACATAAATCAAAAACCATGGATGGGAGTTCAGTACCCGACATACATTCGGGATAGTTGTCTGATAGATTAAATGTACAGTCAAACTCAATTTAAAATTATTCCGTTTGTCAATTTGGACTTTAGTATTAGTCACGTATGACGTATGCAACATCACTATTTTGTTTTGTTGAGTTCAAGTTCAAAATACGTCTAAATTAATTTCTACAAATTTACGGCAACTAAACGAAAACCTCATTCTTTCTTTAGTGATATTGGCTATTCAGTTAAGCCAATTTGCTGAAACTTCTGCGTAGATAACCTCATTTGTGACAAGATTTTAGAGCATATCGCTTATCATGTGTTTCGAGCACATCAAATTTAATTTAGCTCAGAAATGTACATGGAAAAAGAAAAAAAGAAAACCATTCTCATCTCTATAATATTATTTGAGAAGTCAGTTTTATACGTGTCGCGTTCACATTAACTCTCGTGATGGTTGATTACATATATACCCTTAATGAATTGTTAAATTTTAAGATTATTATTAATTTTTTTTTATTTAGTTTCTTTTTTTACCTTTTTCCAAATAACATATATAATAAAAAGGAAATTATTCTAAAATTTTAAAACAAATTTAAAAACGAAAATATATGTATATTATGACTTTATTAAAAAGGAAAGTTCACAAAATAGTAATACCCCCATTAATATATATTTTTAAATAACATAAAATATATTTTCAAAATAATAAAAATATATATGTTCATGAATATTCAAATATTTATCAGTTATACTTTATTTTCTAATATTTTATAGAAATCAACATATAATTTGATAAATATTATGAAAATATATGTATATTTAAGCGATAAATAAAACTAATTTGATTTGAGTTAACTAAAATAAAAAGTAAATAAATATTATTAAAATACATGTATATTTAAGAGATAAATAAAAATAATTTGATTTGACTTAACTAAAATAAAAGTTATTATACTTTAGTTTTAATTTAAAAATATATTTAACTCAATATACTCACAAAATGAATGACTCGACTAATCTAATTTTTATCCAAAATTAAAAATCTAACTACAATAAGAACATATAATTTTATAATAATAATAATATTAATCTATTTAATTTTATACATATAAATTAGAGGTCGACTCAAAGTATATTAAAAAGAAAAAGAAAACATTAACCAATTACAATTTAATTCTCTTGTAGAATTTATATATATATGCATGAGAGGTCAAAATATTATCATTATATTCATTTATGTACTTTTGAATCAAACACTTCAGATTATTATTTATTTCATTTTAAGCACAATATATATTAAGTTATACATAGTTTAACTATAGTATAATTACATATCTAAGAATATATTTATCTATCTAAGATAATAACCAACCGAAATGAAAATATGAAAATTAATCAAAATTTTATTATATTTAGAATAAAAAATATTATAGCTGAATTCGAAAAAATAGATATTATCCAATATATCAAATTGATAATCAAACCGATTATTGATCCAAAAAATAATTAAACCGACAATAATATATCCAAAGTCATATGTAAAATTAGAATAATATAATATTTATTAATATAACTTATACATATAAATTTATTCAAAAATAAAATTAAATATCAATCAATTATTATAAAATTTTACTTTTTATGAATATTCATATCCGTGCATGAGCACGAGAAAATCACCTAGTTTATGTAAAAGACAGTCTTGGTAGATAAAATATTTCATTAAAATACACAATAAAAGCCCATATAAGAGAAGCAAGTTACTTCACCCCTAATATACTTCCGGTAAATCATGTAATCAGGCCCATAAAAATAACTGATACTAGGCATTGTGATTTTCACAATGTCACTATAAGCTGGTTGGTCTTAAAGCTGACTGCCACTTTGGCTCTGTTAATCCTATCATTCCAAGAATTTCAGATATTCCAAAAACAAATTCAGACTTGAGAATTTGAACTTTCAAATTTTGACATTTAACCAAAATTAACAGATAACCGAACCAACAGATAATTCAATTAATTTTAGAATTATTTTTGTTTTTTTTTTTTAGAAAAAATACAATATATTAATAAAAATAAAATAGAGTTTCGTAAAAGTAATTAATAATTTTAGTTTATAAAGATATTATTTTAATTAATCATTATAAAAATTAACGTTAAAGAACATAAAAACTATTATAGAGATTAATGATTTTGTTTTTTGTCTACTAAAGATTTGTTACTTTGATATTTAAGACAACATTTAAACTGTTAACAATTCATTATGAAAAAATCTCACACTTGCTCATTCTGCCGTAGGATATTAAAACTGACGGTTTAGATGCATGCAATCAATGGATCCCACAACAGACGAAACTTCGAGGAAACTTCATTCTTTGTCTCTGTCTCTGCTTTATTCAAATCCTATAACTTTAACATTCGTAGCTAGTAAGCTACATTCTAACAACTCTTCACCATCTCTCCATCTGTCAAAATCTGAACAAAAATCACTTCAGGTTCGATCAAGAAAACCACGAACGATGACTAAAGACAGGAAGATCGGAATCGCCATGGATTTCTCAGAGAGTAGCAAGAACGCACTCAAGTGGGCCATCGACAACTTAGCTGACAAAGGAGACACACTTTACATCATCCACACGTTACCAACCTCTGACGCTGAGTCTCGTAACGCCCTTTGGATCGAATCCGGTTCTCGTAAGTCTCTTTTTAATCTGGTTTGGGAATTTTTTGCAATCGAATATCGGTTTAATCCAGTTTTAACTTGGTGTTGTTGCAGCTCTCATACCGTTGGTTGAGTTTAGGGAACCGAAGATCATGGAGCACTACGGTGTCAAGATCGACATCGCATGTCTTGACATGCTCGACACTGGTTCAAGGAAGAAAGAGGTTCTTTATATATACTTCTTGATCTTGATCAAAATACGTTTGGACGATCTATTAATTGCTGGTTTGGTTATAATAGGTGAATGTAGTGACAAAACTATACTGGGGTGATGCAAGAGAGAAGCTGATTGATGCTGTTAAAGAACTCAAACTGGATTCTATTGTCATGGGAAGCAGAGGACTCAGTGCCCTTCAAAGGTTTATCTTTACTTCTTTTATTTCATAAAAGTTCGATATTTTGTGAAATATTATTCTTGCCAAAATGCCATGGTTTTGTCTGTATATCCATATTATTATAGTTTGTGAGATAATAGGTTGATTGGTTAAATTAAATTATTAATTGCCTTCTATGCCTAACATAATTTGTTATCTAAAAGAATTAAAATGTCAAATAACACTAGGCTCTTGCAATATTTTCTTATTAGTTTTCTAAGTCAAAATTCAATTCCTTTTTGGATAAAAGATTTGTATTTAGAGGAAGAATATATTAAATAAATAAAGCTTCAAGGACAATTATTTCCCACCGAAAGTGGATAAGGTCACGGGAAAACGACAACTAATTATGTTATAGGTTTATTTTTAAAATTGTGGCTTATCTCTTAAGTCTTAACTAAGAAACAACCTTTTTAGATTTTTAGACAATCTGATCAATGTTTACACTTGAAGTCGATCAACAAAACAAGTTTCGCGTTTCTTTAACATACTTGTCTTTTACTTATTTTTTCCTGAATTTTCCCAGGTTAAGTTTATCAACGGTTAACCATTTGTAAAATAATATCAACGCTTAACTTTTATTTTGTTATGTTTTAACTGTTTGTTTCTTTCTGCAAGTGTGTGTGATGAATTATTTCCGAGCGTAAATGTCTAATTAATTTTAATATTGAAACAGGATAATAATGGGAAGCGTGAGCAGCTTTGTTATCGACCACGCGCCTTGCCCTGTCACCATTGTCAAGGATAACTAAAAAGAGATGTCTATCTCATTATGTTCTACCAAAAATAATGTCGCAATTTATGATTTTAATAATAAACCCTTTTTTATTGGTTGTGTTTCTTCTATTTGGAATCATATCAATGTATGAAACTCCACAGTAGTTGTCGAACAAAAAAAACGGAGAGATTTTTGTTAAACTTTTTTGTTTGTTTTTCTAATTATTTCATGTATTTTCAATGTGATTTTCTGGAACTTCTCCATGCGATCTTCACATGATCTTACGGTGGATCGGCTAAACAATTTCTATAAGATCCAAAATAGTTTAAATGAGCTCGTGCTAGAGATTTCACATGGAAAGTTGTATGTCGTGTAGAGAGATGTGTGTAATGTGTTGTATTGACAATATAAATTAAAGGAGTACAATATATATACACAGAAGAGGAGATCACGTAGGATCTCTAGAGCTTATCTACAGAGCATATACCACAAAATATTCCTATATACATGGAACTAGAATACTCCTATACTTATCTCCTATACGCCCTCGGAAGATGAGCGACCGGAAGAGAGTCCAATCTTGGAACTTAGTTGTTGTAGACGCAGGCGAGGTAGTGGTTTAGTGAGTACGTCAGCCAATTGGTCGTTAGCAGAGACATGAGTGACCCTGAGGAACTTTGACTGAACCATTTGCCGAACAAAGTGATAGTCAAGCGCAACATGCTTCATTCGAGAGTGAAAGACAGGATTTGCAGCAAGATAAGTAGCACCTACATTGTCGCAGAAAATGACAGGTTGTGATGATGTAGATACTCCTAACTCGGACATGAGATACGACACCCAGCGGACCTCTGCGGCAGTGTCCGCTACAGACGTGTACTCAGCCTCCGTTGAGGAGCGAGCAACAGTCTTTTGTTTCTTGGAAGACCAGACCACAAGATGAGAACCACGGTAAACAATATACGCTCCAGTTGAAGTGTAATCATCTCGATTTCCAGACCAGTCAGAGTCCGAGAACACGTGAAGGTTGAGAGAGTTGTTGCTGCGAAGGAAGATGCCTTGATTACGAGTGCCAAAGAGGTAGCGAAGAACACGTTTTGCAGCCTGCCAGTGTTCATCGGATGGACGGTGCATAAACTGTGATAACTTGTTCACAGCGAAGGCCACGTCTGGTCTGGTAAAATGGAGATACTGCAGGCTTCCAACAAGGGTACGGTACTCACGACCATCAAGAAGAGGTGTACCCGAGTTAAGTTGAAGACGACAGTTGGTGGCCATCGGAGTTGTGACTGGATTAGCATCAAGCATTTTGGTGCGAGCTAGCAAGTCTGTGATGTATTTCTGCTGAGTGAGAAGAAGCCCCTCAGCAGTGCGATGAGCTTCGATACCCAGAAAATAATTGAGTGCGCCCAAGTCCTTGAGAGAGAATCGGTTACCAAGTCGTTGTATGAACTTCTCGACTGCAGCAGAGTTGTTTCCTGTGACGACAATGTCGTCGACATAGACAAGAACATAAAGTGTAACATCTGAGTGTATGAGAATAAACAGAGATGCATCCGAGAGAGAGTTCGTAAAACCAGATTCAAGAAGAAAGGATCGGAGCTCTTGGTACCAAGCCCGTGGAGCCTAGCGAAGCCCATAGAGAGCTTTACGGAGCTTGCAGACGTGAGTAGGTTTGTCAGGGTCAACGAAACCAGTCGGCTGAGCAATGTAGACGTCTTCCTCGAGGTTCCCCTGAAGAAACGCGTTGTTGATGTCTAATTGGCGAAGAGGCCAGCCTTTAGATACTGCAAGTCCGAGAACAAGGCGAATCGTACCAGCTTTGATTACTGGACTGAAAGTTTTCTCAAAATCGAGACCGGGGCGTTGATGAAATCCCTTGGCCACGAATCTGGATTTGTATTGCTTATTGCCGTTCGGTAGTCGCTTGATGCGATGAACCCATCTGCTACCAACAAGTTTGTATGAAGGATCAGGTGGAACAAGATCCCAAGTGCGATGTTTGATTTGAGCGTCGTATTCAGAGCCCATAGCACCACGCCATCGTACATCTTTGAGAGCCTGAGCGTCTAAGGTTGGTTCTGTTTCAAGATCAGAACTTGCAAGCATAGCAAATTTTGGATTAGGTCTGCTGATGTTATTCTTCGACCTAGTCACCATGGGATGTTTGTTAGTAGGTGAAGAAGAAGGAAGAACAGAGGCAAGACCTGTAGGTTCAGAGATGGACCCTGGTGTTGGAGACGCAGAGATGTCTGGAGAAGCTGGTGCTTGAGACGTTGAGTTTGATGGCTGCTCTTGTGAAGGACCCGAGCCTGGGGGCGATAGTATTGCTGACGATGGTGGAATCGAATGACCAGTGGTTGGAAGTATGGGAGGAAACCAAAGTGTTGAGGAGGGTGGAGAAACAGGAGGTGAAGAGGTGTTGAGAGTTTTGTGGGGAAAGATTGTTTCATGGAATTGAACATGGCGAGAGATGAAGATTATGGCTGAGGAGGGGTTAAGACAAAGGTAGGCACTTTGGGTTTGGGAGTATCCTAGGAAGATACAGGGAGTGGAGCGAGGTTCAAGTTTATGTTTTGTGTATGGTCTAATCCAAGGATAACAGAGGCAACCGAAGACATGAAGATTAGTGTAGTTTGGTGAGGACAGATGGAGGCGTTCAAAAGGTGATGAGTTGGAGAGGGTGGAGGTTAGGAGTCGGTTAATCAGGTAGGTTGCTGCTGTAAGAGCATAGCTCCAATAGGAGATTGGTATGGAGGCGTGAGAGAGGAGAGCTAAGCATGTTTCAACAAGGTGGCGGTGGCGTCTCTCCGCAAAGCCGTTATGTTGTGGAGTGTGGGGTGGAGAGGTGAGGTGAGTGATGCCATTTGAAGCGAGAAAGTCTTTCATAGCGATGTATTCGCCCCCGTTGTCAGAGTACAGGGTGATGATTTGGTTTTGGAATTTCTTTTCAACAAGGTTTTTGAAACGGGTAAAGACAGGGAGAACGTCTGATTTGTTTCGTAGAGGGTATAACCAGATATAGTGAGTGTAGTGGTCAACAAAAATGACGTAGTACTTGAATCCATCGATATAGTGAACTGGTGAGGTCCAAACATCTGAAAATATGAGTTCAAGCGGTTTTGTGGATGAGAGAGAGGAGATGGAGAATGAGATTTTATGGCTTTTGGAAATTGAACAAGCATTGCAGGGTAGTGATGAATCTTTATTAGAAATAGGTAAAGAATAAAGAGAGACAATTGTTTGTAAAGAAGAGACAGATGGGTGCCCAAGCCTAGAATGCCAAATTGGCAAGGGACATTTTATTGAAACAGAAAAAGCATAAACGGAAGATTCATCGGAAACTGGCCACTCATATCAACCATTAGTCGTATTGCCTTGAATTAACTGGGCCCCCGAGCTGAGATCCTTCACCTAAAAAGAGTGTGGGAAGAATTCCACAGACACAAGATTATCAGTACAGAGTTGTTTTACTGATATCAAGTCACGAGCTATCTCATGTACTGTAAGAACATTCTTAAGTGAAAGAGAAGAGTGAGGAAGTGATTTGGACCCCGTATGAGTTATCTTGAGCCCATCACCATTGCCGACTAACACCTCTTCTGTGCCATTGTAGGGTGAGTGTAAGGAGAGATTTGCAAGATCAGACGTTATGTGGTGCGAGGAGCCACTGTCCAGGAGCCAGGATGAGGGATCAGGCGGCATCATTGAGGTGTTGTATGCTCGTGGTGTCGAGTTTTGAGAGCCCCGCGGTGTCGATGTTGCTGACTTTGATGACTGTTGCACAAAGCGAAAGGTGGAGCAAAACTTGGCGCTGTGACACTGCGTTCCACAGGCTTGACATTTGCCCAAGTAAGGACGTCTTCCAGTGTTGTTGTTGGTTTTGTGGGAGTTGTTGTGGTGGTTTGGGTTCTGAGGACGCCAATCTCGGTTGGAGTTCCTTGAGTTTTGAACGTAATTGGCCGTCACAGGAAGCGAAGAGACTTGTGTTTGAGCACTGTTGATTGCATTCTCCCGATTCAGAAGTTTTTCGTGAAGTTCCACAAAGGAGATGGGAGTGTCACTGCTGTGGATGGATTCGATCACCGATTTGTAGTCGTCACCGAGTCCATCAAGAACAATGTCCGTGAGATCTTCAGCATCGAGTGGACTGCCAAGGAGGGCAAGAGCATCAGCTTTTGTCTTGATCAGTTGCATGTAGGCATCGATGGTTTTGTTTCCTTTGACACATAACTTGAGTTGTTGCTTGAGTTGCTTGATATGGCCTCGTGTTGGTTTGCCATACGTAGCGGAGAAGCGTTCCAAGCTTCTAGGGTTGACTTGGATGTGGCGATGAGGGTTGAATTGGAGTCTCAATAGTACCCATGAGGGAGCTAAAGAGAAGGTTATCCTGTCTCTGCCAAGCCGTGAGAGCAGGATTAGGAGTGTCAACGTCGTTGACGCTGATGGTTGCAGGAGGTGGGTTGGTATCTTTGTCAATGAACTTGACGAGATCATAACCTCTGAGGAGAGATATGATTTGCACACTCCAAGTCAGGTAGTTTGATGATGAGAGTTTGGTGATGTTTACCATGTTAACCGCGGTGATAGGATTTTTCGGATCAACGTTGAGATGGGGAGGATAGGTGATTGCAGAGGATGAAGTATCCATCTTTGAGCATGAAAAAAAAAGAGGAGGAGGATCTGTTGATTTAACAAGATCGCTCTGATACCATGTAGAGAGATGTGTGTAATGTGTTGTATTGACAATAGAAAGGAGTACAATATATATACACAGGAGAGGAGATCATGTAGGATCTCTAGAGCTTATCTACAGAGCATATACCACAAGATACTCCTATATACATGGAACTAGAATATTCCTATACTTATCTCCTATAGTCTGGACATTTTATCCGGACTTTAAAATCCAAAACAAACCGACCCAAAAATAAGTCGGGTTGAGTATGGATGTTGTTTTACTTCATTGGTTTTGTTATAGAAGACCCACAGATCTTAAACTCGATTCAGGCCAAATCCAAGATCTGATAAATCTGATAAATATTTGAAATATTTAATCAGCAGCTAGAGAGTAACTTGATTAGGATGTAGAAAGAAAAATTGAGTTGTTACCGTCAATACCTTTTCTTAAACCAAGAAACCCTAAAGCCTCGTAGCTTGAATCATCAGTTGTTGCTGCAATTATCATAGGAGATGTAGAAAGAAAATTTGGGTTGTTACCGTCAGTACCTTGTCTTAAACCAAGAAACTCTAAAACCTCATACTTTGAATCATCATTTGTTGCTGCAAATATCACACACAAAAAAAGAGTAAAAACATATAAAGCTTAGATATTTTTTCAGTTCTTACAAGCTTCAAAGACTATCATCAATAACTAATACATGAAACTGAGATTCCACTGATGCCATACCCATTGCAGGAAAATTCATAAGCTGAAATCTATGAACCCAGATCCAAAGCCTCTTATTCATAAAACTTGGAGTACCTACTACAGACTACTAACGAGACTGCTCACTAGTTTCAGTTTGAAATTTACACACACTATCAATAATAACAAACTTATAATGTGGAACATCAGTACTTACAACTAGAAAGTTTATATAACAACATAAAATTAGCCTGGAAAAAGGGCAAACGAAATTCCATATTCAACATTGACCTTTAAATCTCAAAGAGACAGACCACACAGAGTGAAACATAAACAAAATTGGATTGAAAATTGAGAGTGATAACATACGGAAAAGAAGAGGCTTACATGGGGTCAGTGCATCACATTGTTGATTTATGATTAGGGGAGTTGTGGTCAGAAGAATTGTTGGTTGGAGATATGTGGTTAGGTGAGTTGTGGTCGGTTAAGTTGTGGTCAGAGAAATTGTGGTCAGGAGAATTGTACATTGAGAGACTCCACAAACCATGGTTGTGACAGGAAAAACTTTGTTTTGTTTACTCAATCACAGAGAAAACAACTTTCTCACCATAACTATCGTCACTTTATGGTTACGTGAACAAAGATTTGTGAACAAAGATTCGTGTACATCAGGGAGGCAAAGAACACGCGATACTAGAGCCAGTCTGACCATCTCCATGACAGCCTAATGAACTATGTCACGCTTTCAAAAGAGCAGAATTTTCCAAGTTCACTCGGTGTGGATAAAGCGTCATGCTCGTCTAGACGCCAAGATCTATGGTCATCAGTGGAGTTGAGGTCAGGGGAATTGTGGTCAGATGTTTGGTGGTCAGCAGAGTTGTGAAGAGCGTCTGGGGGAGACGGTGGTCTCCGTTCTCTGCAAAATTAAAAACAAGACGCAAAGAGTTAAGGTTTCACCAAGAGAACCAAGTATACTCAAGTAATCTCTTTTATAATTGAAATCTAGCATTCCATGTTGGAGATTGATGATGAGGCGACGATAGATAACATCGATAACACCGACAATCGAGATGGAGAAGATGACAGAAGATAATCGAGAAGAAGATGTCGTAAGGGAGAAGAGAAGATGTCGGAAGGGAGATGATAAGATTACGATTCGTTTTCATAATTCGATTTCTAGATCGAGAGAAAAAAGAGCTTGAGTTTACTTCTTGATAATTCTAATTTGGTTTAAAGAAATTTGATAGATAAGATAATTAAAAAAAAATTAATTGGGCTTTAGTTAAGTTAACGAAGGGAGATGTGAGGAAAGAAACAAACGTAAATTAAAGGTTATTTTGGTCTTTTAGCAAGCATAAAGTATGTTATATGTGCTTTGTGTCTATTAGTGATATTGATAACTGAAGATGCGTCTCCTAGGATAATTATTTCAAATTTCTAGTATATATTAGGATTTTTTTTATTTTGAAACACAATATATATTAGGAGTTACAATCTATTTTATTTGATTCTAGATCTATAAATGATGGACCTTTACTATATTATCACCCCTTTGAGTGCTGATTAAGAGTAGCAGCATGACATATTTATACTAGATGTTCCTGTTGACTAAGTTTTACATTTTCTGATATGGGATATTTGGAATTAGTAAATTCTCTAAAAATATTGACCAAGTTTAACATTTTCTGATATGAGATATTTGAAATTAGTAACTCTTTAGAAATATCATCTGTAATCAAAAGCATAGAACTCAACTAGAAGTGTGAATTCCTATTGAAATACCATCATACCACATTAAACACTGGTAATTATCCCACAAAAAAAATATGTATATTTGCATGAAAGTTTTAAAAAGTTTAAATTCCTATTTAATTCCCGAATCGACCTGGATCGACATGACCTGAACTAACAAATTTTAATTATTCTATTGAGTACAAAAATCTAACACTCAAACCGATCCAGATCCGACAGAACCCGAACCAATCCAGATTCGACAAACCTAAATCAAACTTAAACCGTCAAATTCTAATCATCCATGTTGGATCCAAATATCTAAGATCTAAAAGAATCACCGATAAGATCCGAATGTCCAGGTCTATAAAGTTGTTGGATGCCTTTGTAATGGTCATTGATGAAGACAAATATTAGAAAATCTGAGAAAGAAAAAATTCAAGATTATAAAAAATACACAGAGAGAAATAATAAGTTCTTTGGTTTACAGAGAAATAATAAGTTCTTTATATAGAAATGCCAAATTTTGATACTGTGATACTATTAAGCCATATTCTTATTAATATGCTATTTCAATGCTTAATGTAGACATGCTATAGTAATAATAACAGACTTTTGCAAGACTTTGAGATTGTCACCTGATTGTAGGCAAAAAATAATTCTTAATATAGTGGGAAATAGATGAAGAAGAAGATAGCTTTGAGTAAGAGCTTAATAACGTCTTCTTATCTTCTAGTAGCTAACTCAAGTACTAATCCAAAGCCGATTTGGTTTAGTTAGTAATTGAATTAAACTTGCCTCGGATTATACCGAACTCTCTGTACAAGTCTGAAGCTTTCCGACACAAAAAAAAAAAAAAAAAACCAAATTCAAAAGGCTCATTATATAATAATCTGCCATCAACACCATTTCAAAAGCTCCAAGGCCGGTGATGATACAACTCCCACAAATCCACCATCCCATTTAATAATGCCAATAACGAAATAAAATAAGCATTAGGACGATTTTTAAGTGATCATTCAGACATCAACACCTGGAACTTCTGTTGTTGGTAAGAACACTCTACCTCCTCTCCACTCAAGTGCTTACTCCACTATACCTTCAATGCCATGAATCCAAGACAAAACTTCCCCTATATAAATCACTCATTCACAAATCCATTTGAAACACACAAACAAGATCGACAAGATTATTATCTCAAAACTCATTTTCTTCTCCACAAACAAAATGGCATCTTCCATGAAATTTCTATTCGTTCTTGGCCTTGTTCTCCTTATCGGAGCCGTTGTAGACGGAGCAGGAGAATGCGGTAAATCTTCTCCGGACAATGAGGCGATGAAGCTAGCTCCATGTGTAGGCGCGGCTCAGGACGCTAACGCCTCCGTGCCGGGAGGTTGCTGTGCTCAGATTAAAAGATTCTCTCAGAATCCTAAATGTCTCTGCGCCGTTCTTCTCTCCGACACAGCTAAAGCCTCAGGCGTGCAGCCGGAGACTGCCCTTACCATCCCTAAACGCTGCAACTTCGCTAACCGCCCCATTGGTTACAAGTGCGGACGTAAGTAGTAACGTGTAAATGTGATACTATGTTATATACATGTTATACCATGCTTTATATTCAAAGTTTGCGTAATTTAATTTTGTATGCAACTAGAACAGAAGTGACGTATCAAAACTATATATTAGCCAAAAATGCTTAATCGTGAAGTGTCGATAATGTTAATAGTTACTACTAATATTATGTTTTTGTTGTGTGTTCCTTATAGCATACACACTTCCATGAAGTGTTGAGGAAAAGGATGAAGGAGATTCATGGGCTTTGGGAGGAACCTTTGGAGTTTACTACTACATCTCAAATGCCTTATATGGTACATGAATAAAGATGTAATGTTTTGTATATCAGTATGATTGTAACCAATAACTATATCAATAATACATGAAATGAATCCACTCTAAATTTGATTTTGTTTTATTAACGAAAAGAGAGTATTAACTACATCATACTTCCATATTCTATGCTTAAAATAGTTTGAAATGTGGGCGACATGTAAAGTCCATAAAAGAAAAAAATAGCTCCGGGTGAACACATTTTTTATTGGAAGTTAGAACTAAAAGTTTGAGCCTGCAGTTCAAGATCATAATCAGATTTCTTTACAATGGAATCTAATACATTAATTACACACTAGGGACAACAATTATACAACTTTTTCCCCAGTTCAACTTCAGTTACCCCTAAGACATGTGTCAACAATATAATCTCATAAACAAAGAAGCAAAGTAGTTGAAGCGCAAAGAGAACGAAGGTTATTGGTTGGGTTGTAAGTAATCACTTTACCATTAATTTCTATCTATAACCATTTAAATCATCAATCATGCTTTAAGTAGTTTTTAAAGCCAAAGTCAAAAAAATAGAAAAATGATTGTACAAACCTTATTTTCTAAAGCAAAAAATTATTGCTTTAGAATTATCTTTCCTTTCTACATTAGATACAACTACATCAAAAACATCTACAGTCTAAATTCTATAGTAAAAATTTTAAATCTACAGTTCAACCAATCAAATCCAATACCTATATATGTCAACAAATTCAGACGCTAACCAAAAGGAATTCAAAAGCAAAACAAGCCAAAACTTTATTTATATATATATATATGTATATGACAAAGTTATAAACACAACCAGCTTTGGGATATAAAGTTATAAACCAAAAGAAATAAATTCCAGACAAAAAGCAAAGCAAAATAGATCCTATTGTCTGCACGTAGACACTACTAAAGACTCTTTAACACACAGAGATGACGTTCTTATGACCACGTATTCTTCTGTATCTTTCGAACATGACTTTACTAGATATAATCTGAACCAAAACCGCGGGGAAAGTGCTGAAGATCTGGATGAATATCCCCCGGCCTCCTTGGAGGTTGCCTATCAAGATTCAGATAAACAAGCGTCAGATAACAGAATTTGATTGAGGAGCTTATCTGTTCGGTTGTTTAAAAAGACTACTGACCTTCCTAACCGGCCTGGCTCAAAACCAGGGCCAATAGGATCATAACGTGCACCAGGAGGTGGCACACCCCTGTTAAAACCAAAAGAAATCCATGGTTAATTGACAGAAACAAATGAGAGCTTTTCTTGTGCTCAACACAAGAGTTGTGTAAAAGAAAAAAATGCAAGAAAGAGAGAAGGAGATCTCACGGTTGTGGTAGTCCCATGAAGTCAGGTTGATCACCAATTCCGGGGAACATGCGAGGATCATTGGGTCCTATAAGCATGCTTCCATCGCCAAAACCACCCCTGACCGGGTATACTCCAGCACCTGGGCCAGGGATGAGATCGCTGTAACCTGGGCCGGGTATAGGAGGAACTACCACCCTACCAAGTAAAATCAATAACCGATAAGTTTTACTTTTCTAAATATGTAATTAAAAAACTGTCATGAACACACTAAACTAAAGTAAGCAGTAGAAGTGGTCGACGTATTATTACCCTGAGGGGTGAATCTGAGGACCTAATGGAACAGGCCTTCCTACGTAATATCCAGCCTCAGGCTCTTCATTTGTCTCCGATCTGCAAGCAACCAAGGATAACGATGAAGACACTTCAGAACTATAATATATAAGTCATATATCATAATGGTCCAACAACTAACGAATGGTTCAAGAAATTGAAGTTTCACGATGAGAAAAACTATATGAACCAAGGCAAAACCTTGTTCATCAAAATCAAAATCAAGATACAATTTTATGATTCTATGACTGAGCAACTCAAGTCATATCCATCTGAAAAGATCTATGTTTACTGAAACACTACAAGTAACGAATACTTCCAAATAAAGAAGTTCCAAGATGAAAACCAAGGCAAAACCTTGTTTATAGAAACCAAGATACAATATTTAGTAGCCTCAGCACATAATTCCGGTATGTTTAGAACATAGACAAAAACGATTCTATTAATGAGAAACCTAAGTCAGATCAATTTGAACAAATCTATGTTAACTGCAACACTACAATTAAACTCATATGTTCGTTCCTAAACCCAAATATCTAACAACATCTTATGAACAAGGGGGTTTGATTACCTGGACCGGGTCGTAGTAGGAGGAACAGGTTTAAGCCCTTCATCAACCTTGTACAGAATCTGATTCTGCAAATCAGTAACTAACTTCTCCAAATTCTTGAACTGTGCATCATAATCACCCTCCTCGCTCGACTCAGCAACATACTTCTCAACACTGCAAGAAAATTAAAAAGAATAAACTTCCAGTACCATAAAATCCACTACAAATAAAAAGAGTACAACAACAACATACTCAATCTCGAGATGAGCAGGCTCTCTTCCACCTTCAGCTATAGCATCAACAAGAACCTTATCATCAATCACCAAACACTTAACCAGAATCTTCTTCGATCCTTTCTTCGCATACACAAACGCGTACTCCTCGAACTCGTTCCACCCCTCGATCCCAACCTCTCCTAGATTCCACAAAAACCAAGAGAATCAGAATCATAAACCCTAGAAATTTCGGTAGAAAAAAAAAAAAAAAAACCCTAAAACGAAACGAAACCTTGAGAAGGAGAGGAAGAGAGAGCGTCTTCGGCGAGCGCAGGACGTCCTGTAGCGACGAGCTTGTAACCGGAGGAGATGAAAGAAGCGTGGACTACGAAGGCTACCTTGTCGCGGTTGTTGCGAAACTGTGGCCGAGAGGATCTGATTACGAGCATAACTGTGTCTGAATTCGCCATCGATTCTGTCGGAGGAAAGTTCGAGTGAATGGAGGATCCTTTTGTGTTTTGACTTGACGAAAAGGTTTTGTCTGTCTATATATTATATAGATATTGGGCCTACAGTCATAAACATATTGGGCCTATCTCGAATCGAATTGGACTCGCCGAACTTAAAAAGTTACGGAAAAAAATGCACCAGCCGGGAATCGAACCCGGGTCTGTACCGTGGCAGGGTACTATTCTNATCCTTTTGTGTTTTGACTTGACGAAAAGGTTTTGTCTGTCTATATATTATATAGATATTGGGCCTACAGTCATAAACATATTGGGCCTATCTCGAATCGAATTGGACTCGCCGAACTTAAAAAGTTACGGAAAAAAATGCACCAGCCGGGAATCGAACCCGGGTCTGTACCGTGGCAGGGTACTATTCTACCACTAGACCACTGGTGCTAGATGTTAAATACTGAAACATTGTAATTGATACAGTAAGTAGCTATTACATACCATTTTTGGCTGGTGAACTTAGGTTAAGGTTCATTTCTTAAACATTTGAATAATTTTGGAAACCCCTTTAGTCTAGTGGTTTGACTGAGGGTTCATGAATACTTCTACATCAGAAGATCCAGGTTTCAATTTCCAGCGAAAACGATTTTTTAAACAATTATACATAATACTGATAGAATATATTATGTATGTAAATAAATGTGATTGTGGGTGCATCAAACTCCATACCATAAGATTCACTGGGTGCATTCACTACCTATTGAACTAATGCTTACAAGGGATTTTCAGCATGGTGCAAGTAAACTCGACCATATATGAATCTTCATAGGATGGTTCAGGTGATGCAGTTAGGTGTAGATCATCATAAGGTAGGTAGCACTGTCGATTGTCGAATCATCTATGTAATCTTTCTCATAATTGTAATATCATAATAAATCAGTCTTAAAAATAAACATTTGAATAATCTCACAGAAATATTGATCTTGAGTAGTTATTATTTTATCAAAATTAATATTAAACTCAGTTGGTTATAGTTTTATTTAGACTTAATCCTATTTGAGTTAGATCATTAATTTTCAGAGAAAAACATGTTTATTTGAATGTAGACACATATCCATACATTCAGATCCGTGCTTCCAAAGAAAATTTAAAACATTTCTTTAGGGCATTATTTTATGTAAAATTGATTTGTAAGGCATAATTATAAAATTACTATTTTGTATGGTCCATTGGTAATTTTCTAAATTTGTATTTTAAATGTAAATCACTACAAATATTTTGAAGACTTCTTTTCTACAATCACAGCTTACCTTCTAACTGATTAACTACAACAATGTCTACATTTAAAGATATTTTTGAATTCTTATTATTAACTTCAATAATGTATACATTTAAAGATATATAATAGCATGTTATTATATTTTAAGATGTGTTTTGAGTAAAGCATATTATTCTTGAATCTTAACCACTCTTAATATCCTTAGAACATTTTTTCATATTATTATTTATTCTAAAATAGTAAAAAGAAAAAATTGTGACTGAAAAATAATAGTATATTATTTATTTTAAAGATAATACTTTCTAAAAGCCTTTCTAAAAATAAATAATATTTTCTGTGTTTATTTTTGACAAAATAAAATAATAAGAAGTATATTTTGGGTAAATTTTTATTTGAATATTTTATTTCAAAAAAATAATTATTATTTCTTTGGAAAATAATAAAAGTTAGAATATTTGTTTTATTTGGTCAATGGCATATAAAATTCTTGTCACAGCTCTGCATACATTTGTTTACATTGATAATACCTTTGAGTGTACTTGTCATGAATAGTATATCTAATCTATTAATTTAGGGTCCTATTTGAATTTTACCATGGTATGTTTTTAATTTGGACTTACTAGACATGTTGTGACTAAATATAAAAACACATTTCATAGAAAATCTTAAAATGAATAATAACATTAACTCGTATAGTCATTCGATTCCTTAATAATAGTCCGTAAGTGAATTTGAGACCCAAATTTCAATTTCTGAGTTGCTTATCGGAAAAATATGATATCTCTACTCTTGGATCAGACAAAAATGTCGCACTTTTAAAGTCACAATCGTGTTTGACTCGAAGGGTTAAAACATTAAGCGAGTGACAGAGATGTCCACTTGAACGCCGGCGTTCTGTTTCTCTCCGACCAAGTCTTTTACCCTTTTCCGAGTAATCTCTCCAGTCTCTTCTCTTATTTATGTCTCTCTCTGCGTTTCTTCTGTTATTAGCCGTGTTCTTTTGGTCGACGCTGCCGCAGCGTCCGACGTCAAAGAAAATACAAAGGACACGGCTTTTATCGCGATGAATCCTTTCTTTCAGTGTTTATAGAATAGACGCTAACAATACCGCGACCTAAAATTCACAGAAATTTGTGACGCTGTGAAATCTAGCGTCGGAAAAATGGAGGATGCAATTGTTTTTTACAAAACGCAGGGACACCAACAAAATGAGGATCCCGTAAAATAAACTGTTTTCTTTGTATTTTCTTTGACTCTGGATGCCGTGGCAGCGTCGACCAAAAGAACACGGCTATTATCACCGTGTTCTTATTTTTTAATGCGATTTGAATGTATTGATGGTCGTCTCTTTACTCTCTATTTTGGATCAATGAACAATAGTTAACTTAAATCCATTATTAGTAAAGTTTTCGATCGCAGCGTTATTGAATCTGTTTTCAAATCCCTTTTGACATTCATTGATGTGACAAAATTGGCGTAGATTAACCCAAAAAATACTATAGATATTTTACTCTACATAGCACTTGTATAGTTGTAAGTTATTTCAAGAGTTGTGATTTTAAGAAAGTGATTAAAGCTTGATTGGTTGGTGCTGTAAATATAAACGGAAACTAGACCTTCATCCGCGCAACCGCGCGGTATTTATTTTCAATTTTTAATTTTTATTTGTACTAATGTTATATTTGACTATATAGTTTTGTAATATAGTTATTAGTTTTTGGAAACCCAATCTGGACCGATGTCGAACCAGTAAATATGGTGACTCATATGTAACTCGATTTATATTTAGAAAAAACATAACCCAAAAACCGGATAAAACTCACAAAAGACCGTTAAACCCCTTGAATCCGACTATAAGTTCAATTACTGGTTGATCCAATAGATAAATTCTACTTATTTTGTTTCTTCAAACCTTTGTAGTTATGTAACAAATTAATTAATTTATTAACATGTAGTTCACCCGTGATCGACCCAATAATCTGGTGACCTGATTGTTAAAAAAAAACCCCGGTGACCTGGAAAATTGTCTAAATCAGATTTAAAACATTGAATTTACAATTTTGAAAGATAAAATGATATAGATGTTTGGGGAACTGATTTTTTTATATAAGTGGTTAAATTTTTTTTGGATAAACTTTTTAAATTAAATTTCTATAACTACTGTAGTTTGATCCCTAAGGCAAGGGAACAAATTAAGTTTCAAACAAATTAGGTGATTTGGTAATAGATAATATTACAATTATTTGGTGTTTTAATATTTTATTGCTATAATAAAGATTTGTTATTGATTATGTACATAAGGACTAAAAGATATTCTGTTTTTGATTTTGAATTTACTGATTATATTTGTTTAACAAAGCTAAAAATGAATATATTAGTTTTTATAATTGGTTTGAATTTTATACACATGCACGTATGAATTTTTGATTTTGTCAGGTTGGTCTGGATTTTATAAAGAAAAAAGAAACTAAATTAACCTCATTGCTTTGTATGAAGAGGTTCCATTGGTTACTGAAGAAGAAGAGAAAAGGATAAATGATTGTGGATTACATTAAAACAAAAGTAGGTTACAATTACATGATGGCATATTAACATCCTCATTATAGCAATGCAATTTAATTTTTCTTTTTGACATTATTGCATTTTTCTAAGGAAAATTAGATTAAGGAAAATGCATTAATAAATAAGAAAAAAGACAACAATAATAAAAGATAGGTAAATTTATTATTTCAGTGGCATATGATTGTAAATAACTTGAAAAACTAATAAGTAATCTATATATGTACTTCTATTTTAATAATACCGATATAGACAACACCTACTGCAACTACCAATCATACTTTTAATTTCTGTTTTTTTTTTAAAAAAAAAAAGCAAACAAACATGAATAAAAGAGAAAAAAAACTAGATTCTGAATGTTTTAAGGGATTTTGAATTCTTTTAAGAAGCCAAAGTATGATTGATACTAAATAGATATCATGGAGTTCCTAACCCAAATAGATACCTATGATCAAACACATAGGATCAGATTAACCAAAGCTGCATGAGGGCTCTGAATTTCTTCCTAGTCCGCAAAGTGAGGATGGAATTAACGACTGGCTTTTTGATGTCCTTGAACGCCGCAAGCGGGGGAGAAAGAGTCTGGTTAAAGAGCATATTGTTGCGCTGATGCCAAACCGTGTAAACAACAGACTGCACCACAAGCATTCTTAGTACATAGGGGGCAGTAAGACATGAACGACAAACCCAGTAATAAGCTCAACACGGTCGCTGAAATAGGCAGAATACACCGGAGCCTGCGAGCAACCTCAGACTACATTGTCAACGAATAAGGACAACATAGCATGAGATGGTCTATAGATTCAGGGTGAAGAGAGCAGATGCATCAATTTGGATATACTTGCATACCCCAATCAGACAGTGTATCCCTTGTGGGAAGCCGATTTAAATTAGTAACCCACATGTGAAAAGCATGTTTCGGGGTTGCACCGCTGAACCAGATGTGCTTAGCTCTGGCTTGTCTTGTTCCCCTTGGTCTTAGGACCTCCCAAGTCTTAGAGGAAGAGTAGGTAACCTTCCAGCTGAAACTGTTTGTACCCAGATCCGGTGAGGGAATAAGGATCAAAGAGAGATAAGTGTGAAGAGTTACTTCCTCCTCAGAATGAGGATGAGGAAGTGTCCAACCTGTGGCATTGCAAACATCAGCAACAGAAGCATCGGGTCTGGTCCTTAGCCTGCGGGTTCCATCTTCGCCGAAAATAGAAATTAAGGGGCCCAAAGGAGTCCAATTGTCGTACCACAAGCTTGTATCTTTACCGTTTTTGACTTCACTAAATAAGAAGCGAGAAGTAAGGTCCCTCAAATGAAGTAAGCAGCGCCAATTCCAGGATTGGCTTGGCGTTTCATGTTGGGTCAAGAAGTGGTATGGAGAATCAAAGTGTTTCCGTTTATGCCACGCAACCCAAAGAGAATCACTACCTAAGAAAAGGAGCCAAAAAAACCTCAACAGAAGTGTAGTGTTCCAGCGCTTGAAGTTGTGGAGACCAATACCCCCTTATTCTTTAGGTAGACAAACCGTTTTCAAAGCTACTTTAGCTGACCCCGTCTATCAGTTTAGCCTGACCATAAGAACCTCAAGCACAGATACTCGATCCTACGAATACAACCGCCAGGCAGTGAGAAGGTAGAGATCCAAAAGTTTATATGTCCTGATAATATTGGGCAATCGGGGTCCCAATTGGGTTTTGGTCCGGGTTCATTCATGTTTTCGGGTTCATGAATTTCAGCTCCATTTATATATTAAAAAAATTGAGTCGGATTCGGTTCAGGTTTAATTGAGTTTGGTTTAGGTTTAGTTATATGTCCAAGATCCGATTGAACCCGAAAACGTTTCAGTTTTGGATATTGATCGGGTTATCGGTTCTAAATATACTAATGTATACTTCATTAAACTCCATATATTTTCAAACATTTTTTAAAAATATTGTGTAGCTTCCTCAAACCATATTGTTATTCTTTAAAATAGTTTTGTGAAACTCGTATACCAACCATATGAGACTTATCGTTGAACTATACGTGAGAACATTAAACATATTATGATTCATGACAAACCAAAGCCTTGTACGAGTGAAATTTTACATAATGAAACATAAAAAAATAAAGTTAACAGCTTATAATTCTATAAACGTGACAAATGTTTTTACACTTTAAAAACAACAACATTGTTTAAACTTCAAAAAAAAATTATTCATAACTAAATTTCAAATGCAATGTTAAACATATATATTAGTCAAAATATTTACGTTAAATATTTATGTAGTAACTAATTATTTTAGGTATTCAATAATATCTTAGTGTGCTTCATATGCATATTAGAAACTGAAACTGAGATTGAATATGGTACACGTTTTTTGGAATCTTGAAGTTTTGAGTTTTCTCGAATATCCATTTAAGTTCAGGTTCAATCCAGGTAAAACCCATAACTTGAAATACCGAAAACAAGATCCATTCGGTATTTATACCGAATTGAGATCGGTTTGCATTCATTATTATCAGACCGGATTCGATTTGGATTTTCGAGTTCGGTTTATTTATCCAGTCCTAGAAAATACCATTTCATTTCTCTTTTATAACTCTTAACTCAGAATATGAATAAAATATCTAGTATAAATGTGCATATTTTTTTCAAGAAGAGATCTCCTTTCTTTTTGTTTTTTTTTTTGTTTTTTTTTTGTTTTTGTTTTTGAGATCTCCTTTCTTTGTCTATCTTTTTCCTTCTAAGATTTATTATTTTCCATTTTGATATGGTAAGCTTTTTTTTCTTTTGTAAATTTATCATCAAGTTTTATGGTAAAATATAATTATTGACTATGACTTTAAATTTCTTAAACTGTTGATTTTCTTACCATTTAAACTAAGTAGATTATTTGACTTTACGAAGATAATATAAGCTTATGAGAAGACAGTCAGGATCCATTATAAAATATACTGACTCCATTTAGTTTAAATACCCGCAGTCTCCATTTAGTTTTGTTGGAATTGCTCATTATCACATCTACTAAGAATCAATCAATGGTGGTAACAGCACTATGTAAAAGGTAATCCACTTTCCTCAACCATACTACCATAGCCTCAGGTTTCCATTAGTTTATCATATGATAAGAGTTGACTCTAAATCCAAATGTGAAATATTTTTTAATTACTCATTGGAACCTTGATTAACTATTCAAGATTTGGGAATGATGTATTTGGTTTGGTAGCAAATCCACTGAAAATTCACAACTTTTTACTGGCAATAATCACTAATAAGCTAGCCACAACCACTTAAAACTCATTAATTAACGCTTGAATTGCTCTGATTACTCACTAACCGCATATCTATATGAAAATATCCGTATTTCTAGAAATAAGGTTATATAGATCACCGTAGGAGTAGAGGATAATGATGGTATAATGTCAATTATTTGGATGGTGGTCACAGTATTAAGCATAATTGACCCTCTAATCAACTAACATGTGATGATTACTGTTACAGTTTGCAGTTATATGAATATGCTTAAGTGCGTCTCTTCCATTTTTTCCGTGCTCGTTAATGATTATAGACGTATAGTAGTTCTAGAGTAGAATATTGACCGTGTAATATATGGTGGTAGTGGCTAACATCACCATTAGCAGATGAGATCATACTGTAACTAAAATAATAATTGTCATATATGATGTGGCGGGGCAGGCAACAGAATGTATTTGTCACTGCCAAATTCTAGGTATGATATTAAGAAGATACGTAAGAGACTACATCATTTGAGTGAGAAATTTGTAGATATTAAGGATCAGATCCTTAAGGGCTCTTTTGGACTAAACCTTTTGATACTTTGGAATCATTTGAGTGAGAACTTTTGTGTGGGCCATTAACAATGTGTTTGGTGATATTCAGTCGACTCTTAGAAGTCTTTTGTCTTGGTGGTAAGCCAAGAGGGAGATATAACTAAATAGATACAAAAAGAGCATCTTTATTACACTATAAGCATCAAATCAAACCCATGGAATATGATAATTTTGTTACACTATAGATGTCTTTAGTTTCACTTTCGGTTGGAGTGTAAATCCATTATAGGCTTTGTAGCTCAAAGTTATTGAATAAGAAGAATCATATTTTTGGTCATCAGATCTTTCTGATTTAGTAATCTTGTAATTCTTAGAAAGCGTTAATTAAATTCGATGTTTCTGCATCTCTTTTCATTTGGTAAATCTATCTACTCCTAGTTCTTTTGAACTTTGGAGTTAGTGGAGTGTTCAACTACATTTGTGGGACTTTATAGGTCCACAAAGCCACACAAGTTACAATCTGAAAGTGGCCTATAATGGGTAAAAGATGAGCACTACATCACATCGAGATTTGTACTTATCTGAGCATAATCTAAACTTCACTATCATTTACTTATATCTATTTAGATAGACTTTATACTAAATACTAACAGCTAAAGCCAACGTCGTAAATGGAAAGCCTAGTGAAATTAATTGATAGTTATTTATGTTCATAGTTAATAAGTAACCGGAATAGTAGCTAAGACATTCTTACGTGTCTTCTTCTATTTGTCAACTTAACGCATCTTTTTTGTTGTAATTTCCTTTGAAAGGTTCTTGAAGCACTAAACAAGAAGAGTCAACATAGCGAATTTTAACCCTTATAAAGAGAACCAAGCTTGCTTCTCCTCCACAAACACATCACTCATCAACAGTCCTCTCTCTCTCACTCAATCATCAACACACAAAATAATGGAACACAACAAGATTGATAGAGAGCTTCAAGATTCATACGATGATCAACAAAAATGGGTTCTTGATTCTTCTCTCGATAGTAGAGGAGAGATTCCTGTTCGGGCTAGAACCGGAGCTTGGAGAGCTGCACTCTTCATCATTGGTATGTATTTCAAATTTTGTAAAGAGATAATTGGTATGAGATATTAATTTACATCAATAATCTTATGGTTCGATATGTGCACATGCAGCAATCGAGTTCAGTGAGAGGCTAAGTTACTTTGGGATCGCCACGAGCTTAGTGGTCTACTTCACGACCATTCTTCACCAGGATCTTAAGATGGCTGTAAGAAATGCAAACTACTGGTCTGGTGTCACTACTTTGATGCCTCTTCTTGGAGGCTTCGTCGCCGATGCATATCTCGGCCGTTATTCCACTGTCCTACTTGCAACCATCATCTACCTTATGGTAATAACTTCTACTCCAAAACTCTATATTATGTGCTCAATTTTTAAAATACAAAAAAAAACTTATTATATACATTTTCCAACGCTATATTGTTGTGGACCTTTTGTAGTAGCACCTCTTGCCTATCTATTCTATTAAATCTGAAAATGTTAGAAGAGTTGTTCAATACTAGCATGTGCTACTGCATTCAAACGATATGATTTTTAAGAAAATGTCGTCAATATATATTGTAAGGCATCAAAATATTTCTGATAAATTTATATATTTGAGTGAACGAAGTTTAGTACAAATTGAGACGGCCACGTTCTAAATATATAACCTGATATATTTATATTATTTATTTTGACTTCAGTATGTTTTTTTTGTTTCTCGTCTGTATTGATTTTTCTTTTAAAAATACAGGGTTTGATTCTGTTAACATTATCTTGGTTTATACCGGGATTGAAACCTTGTCATGAAGAAATGTGTGTTGAGCCAAGGAAAGCCCACGAAATAGCCTTCTTCGTTGCAATCTACTTAGTCTCCATAGGCACTGGAGGTCATAAGCCATCCCTTGAGAGCTTTGGAGCTGACCAATTCGAAGATGACCATCCTGAAGAACGTAAGATGAAAATGTCTTACTTTAACTGGTGGAGCGCAGGTCTTTGCGCTGGTGTTTTAACTGCGGTGACTGTCATCGTCTATATAGAAGACCGTATTGGTTGGGGTGTGGCTGGTAT